TAAAGAAGGACCAGACAGGAGGTGATGGGAAAGACCTCCGCCTGAGACCCTGGAGAGCTGTAAAGACGGGGCTGTGGCTCAGTGGCAGAGCCTCCGCTTGGCATGCAGGAGGCCCCAGGTTCAATCCCCAGCATCTCCAGTTAAAGAAGGACCAGACAGGAGGTGATGGGAAAGACCTCCGCCTGAGACCCTGGAGAGCTGTAAAGACGGGGCTGTGGCTCAGTGGCAGAGCCTCTGCTTGGCATGCAGAAGGTCCCAGGTTCAATCCCCGGCATCTCCAGTTAAAGAAGGACCAGGCAGGAGGTGGCTTAGCTTAGGAAGGATGGCTCCAGAGCAAACTAATTTATGCAGGAGCCAAATCACTCACTGACAACTTTTAATGCCAGTAGCTCATAAAGTAGAATTTTTGTTCACAAGACTCCACAGCTTAGAGGGAGCATTGATCTTGAGTCTGCTGTTCAGGTGTGTATCTGTAAGCTGCAAACGTACAATGACGCAGCAGCAGCAGAACTGGAAGAAGCAGCAGAAAGCTGCATGTTTGACACCCCTGCTCTAGGCTGATCCTGCACTGAGCAGGGGGTTGGACTTAGATGGCCTGTATGGCCACTCCCAACTCTGTGTGATTCTATGTGTGTTGCTCTGCCATGAACTAGCTGGGCCTGGTTGGTACTCTGGCTGCCTTGGAGCCATTCAGCCCCCTGGGAACAGCAGCAACCAACCCCCTGGGAACTGGTGCATGCAGCGGTCCCAGGAGCACAGATCTTACGTCCCTCCCAACTCTGTGTGATTCTATGTGTGTTGCTCTGCCATGAACTAGCTGGGCCTGGTTGGTACTCTGGCTGCCTTGGAGCCATTCAGCCCCCTGGGAACAGCAGCAACCAACCCCCTGGGAACTGGTGCATGCAGCGGTCCCAGGAGCACAGATCTTACGTCCTGGAGAGCTGCCAGTGAGACCCAGCGCGCTGTGACGGTCAAAGAGCTGGACTGGGACTGTGTTCATATCTCCACTTGGCCCTGGAGCGTTCTAGGTGATCTTGGGCTAGTCGCCCTCAGCCTGTCTGGGCTGTCGTCCCCCCCCCCCCCCCGCCCCCCAGGATGTGCAGGAGGCAGGGAGAGAGGAAGGAGAAGACTCCTTTGGCTTCGAAGCTCAGTGTCATGCAGACAGGTCCAATATGAGACATCTTCATGGGAACTGAGGGCAAGTCCCAACATTCACTGTAGCGACCCCTGAGAAGAGGTGCCTTTAGAAATGAGAAAGGCGCAGTTGCAAACCAAGAAAAACCATAACACAGTATAAGTTGATTTGCTTCTGATGAAGCCTTGATACGAAACCAAGCGAAAGCCAGCTGCTTTGTAACGATTGTTCCACTGATAGTTAGGAATGTTCCACTGCTATTAGCATTATAATTTGTAATGTTCTAATGATTGTTCCACGAATAACTGGTTATAGATCACTGAGATATTGTACAGTTCTGGCTAGTATGCCTTGTATGTAATTTTGTATATTTCTGATGTAGTATATGAGTATAAAAGTGACTGTATTTGCTTACATACCTGAGTGTCTTAGTGGGTTCACCATTCTGTCCGTCCCCCCCGTCCCCCATTTGCGGCTTTTTTGTAGTCCTTGTACTGGCAGGTCTGGGTTTTTTGTGCCCTGGGAGGAAGTGCAGGAGGCAGAGAGAGACAAAGGGAAAGGTCTCAGTCCGAGCCAGTGTTCCCTCTCAGCTGAGTTAGTGTGAGCTAGCTCACAGTTTTTTAGCCTCTGGCTCACACATTTTTGTCTTAGCTCAGGAAGGAGGGCTCCAGAGCAAACTAATCTATGCAGCAGCCAGATCGCTCGCTCACAACTTTAATGCCAGGAGCTCACAAAGTAGAATTTTTGCTCACAAGACCCCACAGCTTAGAGGGAACGTCGGTCCGAGCCAGTCCCTCCACTGGGAGCCTCGATTCCTCTGCTGCCCTCTCCTTTGCCCGTTCACGACTTCCGCCTGTGCTTTCAGGTCCCGGTGACTTTTGACGACAGCGCGGTCAGCTTCTCGGCACCGGAATGGGCCCGCCTGGAGGAGTGGCAGAAGGAGCTGTACAGGAACATCACCAAAGGCCACTACGAGCCGCTGGTCTCTTTGGGTAAGGGGGTGGGGCTGGAGACACCGCCCCGCGTGGGGCTGGGCGTTCCCCTCTGGAGGGAGCACCCCGATGCGTGTGGGAATGGATGGAGGCTCTGGGAGGGGAAGGTCCTCGATGCCGCAGGGGCCAGTCCGGGTCTCTCTGTGTGGCGGGTTTTCCAGGCAGCCTGGTCTCGGAACGGACTCTGGACACCCGGAGCCCTCGTGGAGAGAGATCCAGAGGGTGGCCGTGTTTGGTCTATGGCAGGAGAGCAGGATTTGAGCCCACGCGCATCTTCGACACCAGCAGGGTTTTTCTAGGGTAGAGACTTTCAAGAGTCAAATCTCCCTCTGTCAGATGAAGAACATAAGAGAAGCCAGTGTTGGATCAGGCCAGTGGCCCATCCAGTCCAACACTCTGTGTCACACAGTGGCCAAAAAGACCAAGGGCCCTCAGGAGGTCCAGCAGTGGGGCCAGGACACCTGAAGCCCCTCCCACTGGTGCCCCCCCCCCCGGCACCAAGAACACAGAGCATCCCTTGCCCCAGACTGAGAGTCCCTATCTATACCTTGTGGCTAAGAGCCACTGATGGGCCTCAGCTCCAGATGTTTATCCAGTTCCCTCTTGAAGCCGTCCGTGCTTGTAGCCGCTGCCACCTCCTGTGGCAGTGAATTCCATGTGTTCATCACTCTCTGGGTGAAGGAGGACTTCCTTTATCCATTCTAACCCGACCGCTCAGCAATTTCATTGAGTGCCGACGAGTTGTTCTATTGTGAGAAAGGGAGAAAAGTACCTCTTTCTCTGCCTGCTCTGTCCCAGGCATCATCTTATAAACCTCGCTCATGTCACCCCTCAGCTGTCGTTTCTCCAAGCTAAAGGGCCCCAAGCTCTTTAACCTGTCTTCATAGGGAAAGTGTCCCAACTCTCTTAAGATTAAGGGAGCATTGATTCTTGAAAGCCTATACCCTGACAATCATGTAGGTCTCTGAGGTGGTACTGGACTTGAACCTAGTTGTTGTAAAGAGAGTGTCTGAGCATGTACAAAGTTCCTTTTCTTCGGCCAACAGTGAGCGCAGCCATGCCTCCCCCACCCACAATCTGGAATCCGCAAGAAAAGTTTCGAGATTAGAAGGGGTGTCTCTTGGGCTTTGGTCCATCTTCTCAGCCCTGCTAGCCAACCCCAGAGCCGTGGTTTGTCCTGAACGGCAGTACCAAAGGTTGAGCCAGCAACGGGTTTTGGGAGTGTCTCAGTAGGGTTTGCTGGGTATGTATTTGACAGACTGGTGCCCCGCCTCTCGACTTTCGGAGACTTCCTGGCCCCATGTTTGCAGGGGCTGTCTACGAGGTAAGCCAGACACGTGCCGGCTGTTCCAAGTCCGGAGCTCCCAGCAATTCTTCCAAAACCAATTCTTGGGTGTGCTGTCATACAGACGATCACTGAGGGCTCCGGACGTGGACATCTCAGCATGCACCTGGTTTTGGTTCTCCATCCCTGTGGGGATGGTCAAAGGCCTCTGGAGGCAAAGGCCTCAGGCCCTGCTTATGAAATATGCTCCTGGTGTTTATGTCAAGGAAAGGTTATGGGGAGACCTGCAGATGAAGCTGAGACAGAAGTCAGTTTCTTTCTGTCTGGTCCCTATTTTTTTTTAAAAAAATCTGTATCTAGGTTTGCCAGCTCTGGGTTGGGAAATTCCTGGAGATTTGGGGCCGGCGCTTGAGGAGGGTGGAGTTTGGAGAGGGGGTGGGGCCGAGAAGGCACGTGGTGGCCATGGAATTCACCATCGGGAACCACCGTTTCCTCCGGGGACACATCTCTCTGTTGTAATCTGGGCAGCCATTTCAGTATCCTGCAATAAAGTCACACTAAGAGTTCCTCTCCACCATTGCAGATAAACCAGAAGCCAAGGGCTTGGCGGGAAAGGGGGGGACCCCAAGATGCCATGACAAGATTTGGGGGGATGGAGGTGGGCTTAGATGTCGGGGGACAGAAGCACGTCAAGGAAGAGGGTCCAGGACTGGGTTCCTGTGCAGAGCTTCCTTTAGTATGGGGGGTGGGGTGGCCAGGGTCCCACTTGCTGATTTTCTGTCACAAGCAACTCTGCACATGTTCAGTATCCTCCTCTCTGATCTGTTGACATGACCAGACTCTGCCCTTTGCAAAGCCGGCGGCCTCCCTACGGCAGAACGAGCGGAAGCGGCCCACGCCGTCAATCAGGATTTCCTGGAGGACAGGGCCTTCCCCACAGAGGTCAGAACAGGTGAGCACACTCTGGAACAGGGCCAGGGACGAGAGCGAGGTGTGGTCCAAGATGACTTGCCAGAAGAATGAGAGGTGCCCTGACGACATGGATAGCCCAGGCAAGCCTAGAGATGTGAAGGCCCGGGGGAAAAACGGAGAAATCCGGGGGGGAAACCGTTCCCCCCCCCCCCCCCTTTTTTATTCATTTCTAAAAAATATGTACGGTATCAGATGGATCTAATGTCTGTGCACTGAGGACAAGCAAGTCCTAGGTTACAAACTGAACTCTCCAATGCAAGAACAAGATGCATGTCTTCCTTTAGGAGGTGCTGTTGTCACGAGAAAAGAAAAAGGTTTCAGTTTTGTTTTTGCATGTGGGTGGGTATTCTGTTTGTAATAACAGTTTGGATACACTATATTTTTAATATGCTAGTTGTGATGATTTCATGCCAAGTAAAAATGTCCATAGTCATATTTTATGTTCCTAAAGTAACAGAATGACTTTCAATCTGGAAAAGAAAAAAGAAGTGCTAATGTGGCATTTTTTTCAATTTTCCCGAAAATTTTTGTTTCCCCCCGGAAAAAAACGAAAAAAACCCAGGGTTTTTTCCAAGCTTCAAAATTTCCGGAAATTTTACATCTCTTGGCAAGCCCGATCTAGGAAGCTAAACAGGGCCGATTCTGGCAAGGACTTGGAAAGGCAACCTCCAAGGAATACCAGAGGCAGGCTAACCAAGGAACCTTTTTGAAAAACGTCCAATCCCCCAGTAGGAGTTGCCAGAAGTCAACCTTGACTTCCGGGCAAGCACACACACAAAAATATTTTAAAAAGGAATTAAAGGTGATAATACGCAATAGCAGGCCATGCTTTACCAGCCATCTTTAGAACAGTAAAAGCCTGGCTCTGGGAGGCATCTCTTCCAAGGGGTGTGTCACCCCTGAAAAGCCCCTGCAGTGCTGAAAGAAAGCCCACAGACCTCAGAAGCATGAGACGAGCTGTGATGCAGGAGCGAGCATCCTCGATGTTCTTAATTTATGTTCAGGTGGGTAGCCGTGTCAGTCTAAGCAGGAGTGGCCAAACTTGCTTAACATAACAGCCACACAAAATAAACATCAGCTGTTCGAGAGCTGCGAGACATGAACAAATATCACACACACGTTTTTATTGAAAAATATGCAAATTTGCTTTTTATTAACATTACATTAGACTGTGTGAAAGAGCCACATGCGGCTCCCGAACTGCAGTGTGGCCTCCCCTGGAAGCAACAGAACTAAGTTTGAGTCCAGTGGCACCTTTAAGACCAACACAGTTTTATTCCATGTGCATGCACACAAAAGCTTATACCTAGAATTAAACTTTGTTGGTCTTAAAGGTGCCACTGGACACAAACTTAATTTATCTTGGTTAGTCACTTTTCTACAAGAACTCTGTACTCAAGACCAGTGATCCCTCTAAGCTGAGTTAGTGTGAGCTAGCTCACAGTTTTTTAGCCTCCGGCTCACACATTTTTGTCACAGCTCAGGAAGGGATGGCTCCAGAGCAGACTAATTGATGCAGCAGCCAAATCACTCACTCACAACTTTAATGCCGGTAGCTCACAAAGTAGAATTTTTGCTCACAAGACTCCACAGCTTAGAGGGAGCATTGCTCAAGACAGCTAATGAAATCGCAGTAAGGCAATGACGAAGGGGCAGAGGGAAAGGGTGGGTGTTTCCGGCAGACTGTCCTGGGAGCCACCTCAGAGAAGGCCCTGCTCCTCTCCAGGGAGAAGGTGGGCAAGACAGCCTCACCGGGTCTTAAAGGACCGGGAGGAAGATATAGGAAAATGTCACCCACTGACTGAACCATTTAAAGCTCTAGCACTGAGAGACAGCACCTTGAATTCCATCTGGGAACTGAACTGGCAACCATTAGCACAGGAATGGCATGCTTCCTGTTCCAAGCAGCTGAAATCGGCAGCAGCTGCAGTCTCCAAGGGCAGCCCCCCGCGGAGGTCACTAAAGTAATCAGTCTGAGAAGTCCGACAGTAGCAGTTGTCAGTGCGCTGGAATAAGCATCCTTGAATCCACACCACGTAAACCGAACCATGTTAGCAAGTTTAGCGGGGTGGGGGTGGGGGCACTTTCTGCTGCGTCTGAAGGCATGGGATCAGATCCCACCGCTGACACCACGCCTGTATTCTCAGTTGCATACGACGTTCCCTTAGCAGCCTAACAGGCCTTTCTCCCCGCAGGCTCTGCAGTGCCACAGAGAGGTGCTGGGGTCCAACCCTGCCTGGAAGCCACCTCCTCCAACCCTGAGTCCCTCGCTCCTAACCCCAGAAGAGAGTGTGCTGACTATGCGTTCCCTGGTGAGGAAAGACCCCTGCGTGCATCCAGAGGCACTCTTCTTTGTTGTCTTTTGACTGCTGAGCTTGCTGGCCCCAGCAGCTGTCTCCGCTGGTGGCTTCTCCTTTCCCACCCCCCACGCCCCCCCCCTTCAGCTAGCTTTCCTCGTGCAGATCCGCTTGTCTTCGGAACTGCTCGGAAGGGTTCAGTGCCCGGTGCTGATGCTGCTGCCGTTCTTTCCCCCAGAAGCAGAGTCTTTGGCTTCCAAGGAGGATCTGTTGTCCTGGATTAAGCAAGAAGAGCCTCCTGAGAAAGGCAAGTGGGACCCGGAGAGGGAGATCCCCCCGGTTCTCGGCTACGGTGAGTCTGCGTGTGACCTCCTCTCTAACAGGCGCGCCACAGCGTGGTTTCTTCTTGTCTCAGGCTGTGTTCACAAACAGTCTGGTAGGAAAGAATATCTACAGATGTGTGCTAGAGGCCCACAGAACAATACAGTGACAAGAGAGACTAGATTAAAGCCATAGCATCATTTAGTGTCTGGTAATGAGCAGCAACCACTTACTCCTTCACAGGAAAAATACAAAGGCCAATAAAATCACACACAGCCGCCTGCTCCAGACTCTCTCAGTCACTATCCTTCTAACAGTCTTGCATTCTGAAGAGCTGTCTGCTCCAAACTCAATCTCTCTTTCAACACTTATTCCGGACATTTAAGTATTTCAGCCCTCTGGTCTTTCCTAAGGAACAAATCTATAAACACAGAATTCCATTGATATTCCATTGCAATTACATTATATTACATTGGTTTATCAGTCTCTATAAAATAAAGTGAGTATAAAAGTTGATAGGTAAATTTATCTTACCCTATATAGGAATCTCACATTTAATGTCACGGGAATTCTGTGCTTATGTGCAATTTTATTGACCTTTGTATTTGACCTGTCTTGGGATTGTGTGTTGTTCTTGTGGATTGTGTTCACAAACAGCCGTGCAACACATCTGAAGAAATACTCCCGTGCAAGGGTCATTTCATAGAAAAAGAGGTGCAGGCGCTCATTAGCACAATTCATTTGCATATGCCACACCCCCTGACATCACCGGAAGTGTGTCAGAAGGCAACACCCACCACTCAGGCTCCACTGGACTGTTTTGGATTGCTAGCTATAGGAGGGGGGAATGTGCAGATCTGCCCTCACAGAGGAGGGAAAGCTTGTACCTGAATAAAACTTGGTCTTAAAGGTGCCACTGGACTGTTTTGGGCCGAGGGGGGCTCTGCAGCTTAGCTGGCTGCTTCTTGCTCTGACTGAGGGCTGCTGGGAGCAGTGGGCGGGGCTTGTTGCATGTGCTCACCCCTTGGGCTCTGTACTGCCGGAGCTCCGCTCCTGTGCACTCCCGCAGAAAATGACCCCTGCTCCCGCGCCGGCCCTCCTCGTAATTTCACTGTGGTATATCCTAGGCAGAGGCGTGGCTGTGCTGCTGTGTCTGAAGGTCGGTCGGCTCCATTGAGCGGCCTCCTGGAGGGCCCTGAGCTGGGCCCAACAGCCGATGCCATCCTCTGTCACGGATGCCAGCTGCTGTGAGTCAGCAAGGGGCTGCTGGGGCTAGGCTGGGAGGAGGAAGCCCCGTCAGACCTCCCTGGTGGAGGAAAGTGCGGTCAAGTGGCAGCCAACCTACAGTGACCCCGTGGGGTTTCCAAGGCCGGAGGCTGAGAGAGGTGGCTTGCCAGCTCCCAGGGGCCTCCTCATATCCATGCAATCTCTTTGGAAGCTGGTTGCTGTAGATTTCCCGGGCTGTCTTGGCATTGTAGGGACCTGACGTTTCGCCAGCAGCTGTAACTGGCATCCTCAGAGGTAGAACACAGAAAGACGGAGGACTCTCTGTGTCAAGGAGAGAAGAACAATGGTAGGCAGGTCATTTATATCTACTCAGGAAGGTGGGGTGGGGCTGAGCCATTCTCTTGTAGAAGTTCCCCAGGCTGTGAAACATGCTAATGGAGGAGCTTTCCTGAGGAGGTTCTTTTGCATATGGAAGCTGTTGATGCCAACATCCCATGGGCACCAGCTGTGTGATGCAGGCAGGAGCATTTCCTTCTGTTTCTCTGAAATGTGCAGTCCACCAGTCGTGGGGAGAAGGGCCCTGCATTTTGAGTGGGAATTGTTTTTCCTGGTTAAGTCCCCTGTGCTTTGTGCGAAGCGGGTTTTCTCTCCCTGTCATCCCTTTCTAAGGCCCCGAGCTCCTGCTGCTCAGGCCAGCCTTGGTAAAAAGACATTCGGTCCCCCCGGTTCTTTGAGCGGCCTGTTTCGAAATTCTTCAAGGGGCAGGCAGAACTGCCTGCTGTTTTCCAGAGGTCAAAGCATGGGTTCGGTGGTTGGCATTTGGACATGGGCAGTTCATCCTCTTCAGTTCTCTTCAGTCTGATCTAATTGCCGGTGGGCACTCTGAAGTGCCCACCAACCCTTAATGATGCCTGGTTTCCCATCCGTGCACACCAATGCTCCCTCTAAGCTGTGGAGTCTTGTGAGCAAGAATCCTACTTTGTGAGCTGCTGGCATGAAAGTTGTGAGCGAGCCATTTGGCTGCTGCATAAATCAGTTTGCTCTGGAGCCCCATCCTTCCTGAGCTAAGACAAAAATGGGTGAGTCGGAGGCTAAAAAACTGTGAGCTAGCTCACACTAACTCAGCTTAGCGGGAACACTGGTGCACACCACACGTACTCAACAATCTGGTCGCTGTCCCAGGTTCCTCGGAGGCGATTGTATACATCCCTGATAATCAGGGGAAAGCCCATTAAGGATGTCATTTTAGGGGACAGAGTCTTGCCCTTAAGGAAACTGGGGTCTCGTTTCTTTTCCCGCAAATAATAATTAAAACTTGGTCTTAAAGGTGCCACTGGACTGTTTTGGACCGGGGGGCTGGGGGGGAGCTCTGCAACTTACCTGGCTGCTTCTTGCTCTGACTGAGGGCTGCTGGGAGCAGGGGGTGGGGCTTGTTGCAGGTACCCGCCCCCTGGGCGCTTTACTGCCAGAGCTCTGCTCCTGTGCACTCCCACAGGAAATGACCTCTGCTCCCGCGCCTGCTCTCCTCGTAATTTCACTGTGGTATATCCTAGGCAGAGGCGTGGCTGTGCTGCTGTGTCTGAAGGTCGTCCCTTTCTAAGGCCCCGAGCTCCTGCTGTTCAGGCCAGCCTTGGTAAAAAGACATTAAGGACGTCATTTTAGGTGCCCATTAAGGACGTCATTTTAGGGGACAGAGTCTTGCCCTTAAGGAAACTGGGGTCTCGTTTCTTTTCCCGCAAATAATAGTAATAATAATAATTGGCTGGAACTTCCTCGCCTTAGTAGAAGAAAAGGAGATTGGATTTATACCCTGCCCTTCACTACTCGAAGGATTCTCAGAGCAGCTTACAATCTCCTTTCCCTTCCCATCCCCACAACAAACACCCTGTGAGTTAGGTGGGGCTGAGGGAGCTCTTTTGAGACTGCCCTTGAGAGAACAGCTCTGAGAAAACTTGTGACTGACCCAAGGTCACCCAGCTGGCAGCATGTGGAGGAGTGGGGAATCAAACCCGGTGCTCCCAGATTAGAGTCTGCGCTCCTAACCACTACACCAAACTGGAAATCTTTCAGAACCCCAGAGGCAAGGACTCTGGTTGGGGGATTACAAGAAATCACACCTATCACCCTCTGAGAGTTTGGTGTAGTGGTTAAGTGTGCGTATTCTAATCTGGGAGAACCGGGTTTGATTCCCCACTCCTCCACTTGCACCTTGCTGGATGACCTTGGGCAAGCCACAGTTCTGGCACAGGTGCTCTTGAAAAAGAGCAGTTTCTGTCAGAGCTCTCTCATAGAATCATAGAGTCGAAAGGGGCCATACAGACCATCTGGTCCAACCCCCGGCACAATGCAGGACCAGCCTCAAGCACCCCTGACAAATATTCCTCCAGCCTCTTCTTGAAAGTTGCCGGCGAAGGGGAGCTCACCACCTCCCCGGGCAGCTGATACCACCTCTGAACCACTCTGACCGTGAAAACGTTTTCCCTAATATCCAGCCAATCCCTTTCTGTGTGTAATTTAAACCCGTTGCTTCGGGTCCTCTCCTCTGCTGCCAACTGGAACAGCCCCACCTACTTCACAGGGTGCCTGTTGTGGGGAGGGGAAGGGAAAGGAGTTTGTAAGCCGCTCTGAGACTCCTCTGGGTAGTGAAGGGCCTTGGGGTATAAATCCAATCTCCTCCTCCTTCTCTTCTGAGAGAACTTGTGACTGACCCAAGGTCACACCAGCAGCTGCAAGTGGAGGAGGAGTGGGGAATCAAACCCGGTTCTCCCAGGTTAGAGTCCGCACTCCTAACCACGACACCAAACTTTCCGTGCAACAGCTGGTCGCAGGGCCTCCAGGCAGGGCCAACAGGCTTGCCTTAGGCTGACAGTTGGGCTTTGTCTTTGGGGTCCTTCCCGGCCACAGGGGTCTCACTGCTCTTTCTCCCGTTTCCCGCCCCCCGGCAGATGACGGCACCATGGTCAAAAGCGAGGAGCAGAATCCCGGAGCGGGTCCCAGAGTCCTCCTGCCGAGCCACGGGATGCTGCCTGGGGAAGACGTCTTCCCAGCCCCCAAGCCCGAAGTGAACGGCGAGAGGCAGCCGACGGCCCCTCCTGCCCAGCGGCTGGAGGAGCCCCCCCAGGGCGACAGAGGGTGCCGCGAGCCGGAGGTGGCCCAGCCGGAAGCCTGCCTCAAAGCGGAGCCCTTCCAGTGCGGCAAGTGCCGAGAAGGCTTTGCCTGCGAGCAGCAGTTTTCCTTGCACCAGAGGCTTCATGCGGGAGAGGAGATGTACGGGGAGAGCGTTCTGCCGACGTCCCTCGAACCTGGTGCCCAGCAGCTACCGGACCCCTACGCGTGTGCAGACTACAAAGGCGGCTTTGGCGAGGTGCCGTTCTCCCAGACGGCGGGGAGGCCGTACGTCTGCCCCCTCTGCCCCAAGAGTTTCCGGCTCAAGACCAGCTTGTTGATCCACCAGAAGACGCACACCGTGGGGAAAGGCGAGAGCGCCTTCGTGTGTCCCGAGTGCGGGTGTGGCTTCAGCCACCAGGGCCAGCTCACCCGGCACCAGGCCATCCACGCCGACCGGCCGCACCAGTGCTCGGAGTGCCACAAGGCCTTCAACCGCAAATCCAGCTTGGTGGTCCACCTGAAAACCCACCGCGAGAGACCCCGCCCCTTCCAGTGCCCGCAGTGCCACAAGACCTTCATCCGCAAGCAGCACCTGGACGACCACACCCGGACCCACACCGGCGAGAAGCCCTACCAGTGCCCCGAGTGCGAGAAGCGCTTTGCCGAGAAGTCCAAGCTGACCAACCACTACCGGATCCACACCGGCGAGCGGCCGTACCGCTGCGGACAGTGCGACAAGCGCTTCGTGCGCGCGCACCACCTGGTCAAGCACCAGAGCAGCGTCCACCAGGCCGGGGCAAAGGTCTACTCGTGCCGGGAGTGCGGGCAGAGCTTCAGCCACGCCCAGGCCTTCGTCAGCCACCAGGCCAGCCACGCCAACGGGGAGAGGCGGCACCGCTGCAGCGAGTGCCTCAAGACCTTTGCCCGCAGGAAGTACCTGCTGGAGCACCAGCGCATGCACACGGGGGAGAACCCCTACGCCTGCCCGTACTGCGGCAAGCGCTTCCGCTACAAGCAGTCCCTCAAACAGCACCTGCGCGTGCACGGCGACCAGCTGCCCCCCGCGCCCAGTGTGGAGCAGGGCCCAGCGCTCGGCAGCACGGCCGAGAAACCGCCTCTCCCTCCGGCCAACCCTTCCAGCGGCACCTGAAGACAGGCCCGTGAGGATTACAGCGCCCCCGCCCCCTTTACAGACAGCGCCAGACCTGGAAGCAGTCGAGCCTCTTTAAGACACTTGCGGGGGCTCACTGGTCAGACTTCTCTCGGGGGCGGCTCCGGCCTGGTTTGCACCCGTGGCACGTGAGGCACCTTCTCCAGCAGCGGTGACCTTCTTGCGAGCCAAAGGGGAAGGTTTTGGTCACTCAGCTGGTCTCTGAGTGCTTCCGTACAGGCCCAGAGCCCCACTGACTCTCCTTTTCAAAGCATTTCAGTCGTCTAAGAAATTGGATTACCAGTCTCACGGTTCTGTCTGGATTGCCAGTAGATGGAAAATGAGGCTCAATTTGTCTGAACACAGGCCAGAGAGTTCAGGAACCTTGGGCCGGGGTGGGGTGGGGAAGGGACCCGATTTGTCCTGGGCCAAAGGAGGGGGATTCAA